CCAACTTCCAAGAGAAGTGGTGCTGGCTTCTACCCTGGGGGTCTTTAAGAGGAGGCTAGATGAACACCTTGCTGGGGTCGTTTGACCCCAGTACTCTTTCCTGCCATGGCAGGGGGTCGGACTCGATGATCTGCTCAGGTTCCTTCCAACTCTACTAACTATGAAACTATGAAACCGCCACCAAGAAGAAGCAGTGGGTGGTGATGGTTGGAGACTCCTGTCTGTGCAAGTCAGAGGGAGCCATCTGCCAACCTGACCTGTTGTCTTTGGAATTCTGCTGCTTGCCTGGAGCCCAGATCCGAGATGTCACAGAGGGATTACTGAAACTGATTCAGTAATCTACTACCCCATGCTGCTCATCCATGTGGGCAGCAATGATACTGCCAGGGAAAACCGTGAACAATAACGAATGACTACAGGGCTCTGGGTACAAGGGTGGAGGGGCCTGAGGCTCAGGTTATGTTCTCTTTGATCCTTCTGGTCAAGGGAAAGGGCCTGGGCAGGAACATGTGCATCCTGCAAATCAACACCTGGCTGTGTAGGTGGTGTCACCAGCAGAGATTTGGCTTCTTTTACCCTGGGATGTCCTTCCAAGAAGAAGGATTACTGAGAAGAGATGGGATCCTCCTGACAAAGAGAGGGAAGAGCATCTTCACAGACAGGCTCACTAACCTAGCAAGGAGAGCCTTAAACTATGTTCACCAGGGGACAGAGATCAAAGTTCTGAGGCAAATGGGGAAGGGGGTGACCTGGAGGAAGCACAAGCAGGAAGGAGCAACATAGGGGGCCTTCTCGTTCTTGCTGAAAAAGTAGGGCAATCAGTTATCTCAGGTGTCTGTACACATATGCATGGAGCCTGAGAAACAAGCAGGAAGAATTAAAAGTCGTTGTGGCAGAGCACAGGTTGTGCCTGCCACTTCAAGGGGTTTGAGTAGGCGGCAAGTAGCCTCCAGGTGGGAGCAGATGCAAGCAGGCAGTCACATGGTAGTCAGGAGACCGCCTGATTGGTGGCAAGGCTGGGGAGCCTGGGAATATGACTACACCCTGACAGCAGAACTGGCAGATGCTGCAGGGAGGCTGCTGAAGTAACATCATCCAGCCTGCTCCCAAAACACCTGGAGGTTCAGGGTAGAAACTATAGGGATGGAGGAAGTTCCTAGTCCTCAAGAATGACCTAAAAACTACACCCTACTGGAGCTGGATGTTGTGATGGGGCTGCCTGCTGCAGGGCAGTCTCCAGCAAATGCCATACCTGTGCCTCCCCAGTGAAAGGTGAGTGGGATGCCAGAAAGGCACAGCCCCCACTGCCTTGAGAGTGATCCCATGGAGGAAAAAGGCTAGGGGAACACACCCCAACAGCAAAGCACAGGGCCAAGGCCCACTGAGTGGTGCCTGAGGTGGGGCCCAGGCCAAGAGAAGGGGTCTAAGACCAGGCCCAGGCCCACTGAGTGAGGCCTGAGGCCCAAGAGGTGTTAGGCCCAGCAGCCCAGTGAGAGGG